TCCGCATTCCTCCATCTAGGGCGGAGATCATGGGTGTTGGGGGCATCCCCCCCCCCCAACCTGAATAAGGTCCATGATCTCAATCCTGGACCAGGAAGGCGCCCACCTTCTCCGGGCCCTGGCAGACTCCTTGGAGCTGGCAGACTGCTACTGGGGAGCAGTGGAGGGCTGGTTGCCAGTGGCTTGCTGGCTCATGTTTTGGGGCCACTGGGTCAGGGGCAGTGACTGCTGGCTCTGGGCTGGCAGGCTTGTAGTCTAACCCTTTAAGGGCTCCGGGGGTGGAGCGGGAGAGAAGTGTTCTTGGTTGAGGCTGGAGTGGCCACCAGGGCACCCAGGGAAGGCTGGAGGCCCCCTATTTTGAAATAAGTGTCTACACAGCACCTATTTTAAAATAGCTATTTCCAATTTGGGGTTATTAGGTACACAGAGACATGTGCGAATGTGCCCCACTAGTAGAAATGAAAAACTGAGCTTGTAGATGTTCTGCTAATTAGCTGAGTGGCATTTGAATCTCTCCTGAGCAGCCACACAAACGCACAGCTAACGGCACACTGCCAGCCACCCTACATATTATGATCATTTGTTCTACTGCTTTCTCATTCCACGGAAGGAATAAAGTAGGGGGTTTCTCTTTTCAAAAGGGAAAAAGAGATGGTTGAGTAATATTTTGAATACTTACAGGTGGTTTAATTTTGGAGATTTCAATGATGAAATAGATGCATGCTGTAGCTCGTGGGATGGGCTTCCTGCAGGTTGGGATGCTCCAGCGAACCCGGTAATGGTATCTTTTGCTGTACTTCAGTTCTTCTTCCTGGAGATAGTCTGACCAGTGAAGCCAGCTCTCATGAAACTCCCATGTCTGCTGCATGAATACACCACACTCAGGGCTGGATTACCCAATAGGCAGACTAGGTATGTGCTTAGGGCACCAGAAAAGCAAGGGCACCCAAAAAATGAGATTTTACAGTATAGTATTGTTTTTATTTTGAATTACATATGGGGGGCACCATAATCTTTTCAGTGCTTAGGGCATCTAAAGGTCTTAACCACACTATGGGTATGTCTGGCCCTGACCACACTATGGGTATGTCTACACTAGCCCCCTAGTTTATACTAGGGAGGCTAATGTAGGCATTCAAAGTTGCAAATGAAGCCCAGGATTTAAATACCCCAGGCTTTATTTGCATGTTCCCGTCCGGTCTCCATTTTTAAATTCCACTAGTTCGATGTAACTGCCCGCGGCTACACGCGGCAGTGAAACGGTAATTCGAACTAAGTCCTTAGTTCGAATTAACTGTTACACCTCATGGAATGGAATGAGGGGTAACATGGAATGAGATGTAACAGTGAATTCGAACTAAGGATTTAGTTCGAATTACCGTTTCACTGCCGCATGTAGCCGCGGGCAGTTACTTCAGACTAGTGGAATTTAAAAATGGCAACCAGACAGGAACATGCAAATAAAACCCGGGATATTTAAATCCCGGGCTTCATTTGCAACTTCAAATGCCTACATTAGCCTCCCTAGTTCGAACTAGGGGGCTAGTGTAGACATACCCTATAAGAGTTGCACTCCCTAGTACAGATGACTTAAGGAAAGTTGGTGGGAGGAGAGCTTGAGTTGCTCTTGTTTAACTCTGCCATGCAAATCAAGATTGAGGGGACATGGTATAAAGGAAATGTTACTTTTAAACGTTGGCCAATCATAGTCCCCTGAAGAACTTTCTTCTGCAGCATATAACTGGGGCAAATAGTTCAACAAGCTTCACAGAAGATTCAGTGTACACAAAGCAGTGTTTGCAATAACAGAAGGCAAGTCAAAGTTAGCTGGGTTGTTATTCTAATGCTTCCAAGCAAAAACTGGATTGTCTGTAGAGTATGGAGGGATTGTTCTTTATTGAATATTGCATACTCTAATACAGTAAAACCTTTGTTATCTGGCACTCTGTTAACCAGAAAACTTTGTTGGCCTGAATTTCCCCCAGCCACAACACTGTCACAGCTTCAGGAGCACAGGCCTGGCTTGGTTTACCATGATTGGCTTAACACATTTTTATTTAAGAGGTACTAATCATCTTTAACTCAAACTATAAATGTGAGACCAATTGCCTCACACTACAAAACTACTAAGGTTAAAAACTTGAGTTTTACTATTATTGTCCGTTGGTTTTTCCTAGGTTGATGGGACCCTCAGATAACAGGAATTTTTGGATAACCGGAAGACCCTAATCCCTGAGCGTGCTGGATAACACAGGTTTTACTGTATTGGCTAGAAGGCTGGAGGCCCCCTATTTTGAAATAAGTGTCTACACAGCACTTATTTCAAAATAGCTATTTCAAATTTGGCGTTATTCCTCGTAGAATGAGGTTTACCAAATTCGAAATAAGTGCTCCACTATTTCAAATTTATTTCGAAATAGCAGTTTGGCTGTGTAGACGCTAGGAAAGTTATTTCGAAATAAGGGCTGTTATGAAGGCTGGAGGCCCCCTATTTTGAAATAAGTGTCTACACAGCACTTATTTCAAAATAGCTATTTCAAATTTGGCGTTATTCCTCGTAGAATGAGGTTTACCAAATTCGAAATAAGTGCTCCACTATTTCAAATTTATTTCGAAATAGCAGTTTGGCTGTGTAGACGCTAGGAAAGTTATTTCGAAATAAGGGCTGTTATTTCGAAATAACTTTGCTGTGTCGACATACCCTTAGATTTTTTATATTTTTTCAGTATTACAGCACATTTGCTAATAATGTAAAATTAATGAAAAGACCTCAATAGCATGCACTATGAGGTTACATTGTAGCAGCAAAGAGGAGGGAAGACCAAAGAACTATCAGTTTCAGTAAGGGTCTCTTAGGTTGTAGATTTCATATTGCAGGCCCCTTCCTGGAATATTAGTCACCGCACAAGATAGGATGTTTGCTCATTGTGCAACCAGAATCTTGAAAGGGATAAGATCCTGATCTAATCACTTGTGCAGATAAGACCTTCACTTAACTTACTTGGACAAATTTTGACACCTGACACCTATGTTCCCTCTAATCTTTTCCATCCATGTGTGGAATAAATTATTAGGTACACAGAGACATGTGCGAATGTGCCCCACTAGTAGAAATGAAAAACTGAGCTTGTAGATGTTCTGCTAATTAGCTGAGTGGCATTTGAATCTCTCCTGAGCAGCCACACAAACGCACAGCTAACGGCACACTGCCAGCCACCCTACATATTATGATCATTTGTTCTACTGCTTTCTCATTCCACGGAAGGAATAAAGTAGGGGGTTTCTCTTTTCAAAAGGGAAAAAGAGATGGTTGAGTAATATTTTGAATACTTACAGGTGGTTTAATTTTGGAGATTTCAATGATGAAATAGATGCATGCTGTAGCTCGTGGGATGGGCTTCCTGCAGGTTGGGATGCTCCAGCGAACCCGGTAATGGTATCTTTTGCTGTACTTCAGTTCTTCTTCCTGGAGATAGTCTGACCAGTGAAGCCAGCTCTCATGAAACTCCCATGTCTGCTGCATGAATACACCACACTCAGGGCTGGATTACCCAATAGGCAGACTAGGTATGTGCTTAGGGCACCAGAAAAGCAAGGGCACCCAAAAAATGAGATTTTACAGTATAGTATTGTTTTTATTTTGAATTACATATGGGGGGCACCATAATCTTTTCAGTGCTTAGGGCATCTAAAGGTCTTAACCACACTATGGGTATGTCTGGCCCTGACCACACTATGGGTATGTCTACACTAGCCCCCTAGTTTGTACTAGGGAGGCTAATGTAGGCATTCAAAGTTGCAAATGAAGCCCAGGATTTAAATACCCCAGGCTTTATTTGCATGTTCCCGTCCGGTCTCCATTTTTAAATTCCACTAGTTCGATGTAACTGCCCGCGGCTACACGCGGCAGTGAAACGGTAATTCGAACTAAGTCCTTAGTTCGAATTAACTGTTACACCTCATGGAATGGAATGAGGGGTAACATGGAATGAGATGTAACAGTGAATTCGAACTAAGGATTTAGTTCGAATTACCGTTTCACTGCCGCGTGTAGCCGCGGGCAGTTACATCGAACTAGTGGAATTTAAAAATGGAGACCGGACGGGAACATGCAAATAAAGCCTGGGGTATTTAAATCCTGGGCTTCATTTGCAACTTTGAATGCCTACATTAGCCTCCCTAGTTCGAACTAGGGGGCTAGTGTAGACATACCCTATAAGAGTTGCACTCCCTAGTACAGATGACTTAAGGAAAGTTGGTGGGAGGAGAGCTTGAGTTGCTCTTGTTTAACTCTGCCATGCAAATCAAGATTGAGGGGACATGGTATAAAGGAAATGTTACTTTTAAACGTTGGCCAATCATAGTCCCCTGAAGAACTTTCTTCTGCAGCATATAACTGGGGCAAATAGTTCAACAAGCTTCACAGAAGATTCAGTGTACACAAAGCAGTGTTTGCAATAACAGAAGGCAAGTCAAAGTTAGCTGGGTTGTTATTCTAATGCTTCCAAGCAAAAACTGGATTGTCTGTAGAGTATGGAGGGATTGTTCTTTATTGAATATTGCATACTCTAATACAGTAAAACCTTTGTTATCTGGCACTCTGTTAACCAGAAAACTTTGTTGGCCTGAATTTCCCCCAGCCACAACACTGTCACAGCTTCAGGAGCACAGGCCTGGCTTGGTTTACCATGATTGGCTTAACACATTTTTATTTAAGAGGTACTAATCATCTTTAACTCAAACTATAAATGTGAGACCAATTGCCTCACACTACAAAACTACTAAGGTTAAAAACTTGAGTTTTACTATTATTGTCCGTTGGTTTTTCCTAGGTTGATGGGACCCTCAGATAACAGGAATTTTTGGATAACCGGAAGACCCTAATCCCTGAGCGTGCTGGATAACACAGGTTTTACTGTATTGGCTAGGTGCATTTCTAATTTGTGGTACTTTTCATATTCAAAGCACCTTAAAAACCATGAACATCATGTGAGAAAAGTGAGTGTGTTCCCTGTTGTGCAGATGGGAACATGAAGGCACACAGCTTTAGGCCCAAGTTCTTAATGTATGTGTCTAGTTTTGGATGCCTCAGTTTTTGGGTTGTTAGCATTAGACACCAAAGGCCTCTTTCTTTTTCAGAGTTTCTAAGTTTCCTCCGCTCTAGATGAGCACAATGAGAACAGCAGGTGCTCAGTGTTTCTGAAAACCAGAACCAAGGGCTTTCAAAAGTTGGGTGCCTAAAATTTAGAGGCACTTATAAATATTAGCCCTAAGTAATTTATCCCAGGATACATTAAATCAGCATTAGAGACGGGATTTTAACAAGTTACTGCTGCAGGCAAGCAGTCTGCGAGACCAGAGGAAACAGTGCTGTCTTTGGCCAGCCCTGCTTCCCGCTGGCCGGTTCCCCCCGACCAGCCCTGCTCCCCCTGACCCCCTCCTGGCCAGCCCTGCTTCCCGCTGGCCGGTTCCCCCCGACCAGCCCTGCTCCCCCTGACCCCCTCCTGGCCAGCCCTGCTTCCCGCTGGCCGGTTCCCCCCGACCAGCCCTGCTCCCCCTGACCCCCTCCTGGCCAGCCCTGCTCCCCTCCCAGCCAGTGTCCTCCTCCTCTCCCCCCACTGTTCTGAGATAAAGTGTGTCTGGTATTTTTTTGAAACCCATCTGGTAACCCTATAAGGAAATGGAGAGGACCCAAGCATGTGAGGGCAGAGAACATTCCGGCCAATTAGAAAGCCACCCCAGGGTGCCATGGAGTAGTTAAAGGGCTTGCTGAGGAAGCAAAGTGGGGACAGGAAACCCAAGTGAAGCTTGAAAAAAAGTGAGAAGGGTTTCAGCAGCACAAAAGGAATATTCAGAGCTACCAGGGAACAGAGCCAGCTCCAGAAAATATCCAAGCACCTTTCGACATGACTCAAATGACATCTGCATGGGTATTCAAAGCCCTTGTCCTTCGGCTGCCATCAATGAGAGTCAGACTGAGAAGTCCAATCCTCTCCCGCAATGCACACACACTTATGGGGCACTGTAAAGGCAGGCTGCTCTAAAAATGCATCTGGAAGAGGGGTGCTGGGTCTCCATTTGGAAAGCAGATTAATTACTACCTGCAATAAATAATCAATTTGCAACTTTGCTCATCAACTGCAGAGGGAGCAGACCCTGATGGCTCAGTTTGCTTACAGCCATGCTGAAGGAAAGGATGGCTCTGTGACTTACTGACATGTATTCCTCAATTTGCTGCTGTCCTCTCTCCACTGTAAAGTCCTTGCAGGATGTCCATTGAATGTTTTGGATGATGTACTCCGCTTCTGAAAACAGACAATATGCTGCTTAAGTGGTCTCATGGGGCTCTGACATGCTAAAGAGCTTTGAAAGCAGCAGGCTTTTTGTATTTCAGTACCTCTCTCTTTTTCTTGCAAATCTTGAAGATGTTCTTTTGCATCCCGGATTACATTCTCAATTACAACGTGTGCTTTTTCCTTGATGGCAGCATCTGCATCTTCCACATCCATTCTCATCAGCTTTAGAGAGAGAAATTGACAGGTTCACTAAAAGAAGGTCAAAACATGAAACTTGGGGAGAGCTGAGCTTTCTTGCTAATCTACCCCAACAGACCTTCAGCTGATCTGGAAAAAGATAGCAAAACAGCACCTGATTTCATGGGTCAATTCCCTTATAGCCCCAGATGGTTAGAGCCTGTAAATACCCATGCCTATGTCTAGTCATAATATATCTCCCTGCCAATGTTAGAAAGCAACCTCTGTTACTCTCATAAACAAAGTAGGTTTAGTGTACTGGACTAATCTTTTTTTTCTGCTGCAGTAATATGCAGAAGGTAGTTTAGGGATTTAGCTGGCGACAGAACAAGAGTGGTGATATTCCTGGGACATCAGGTCCGAGCCTCAAACTTGGCACTGAATCTTCGGATCCTAGGGGGAGACAGTGGAATTGCTCATATGCCTACCTGTCTGAATGCAATTTATAGGTTTTTTTCCTTAGTGCAAAGATCTGCTCTATCCCTTGTAGGCTGCAGATTCCCAGGGTTCATGAAGCATCTGGCTCCAAGTTCCTTAGAAGTGTTTGCTCACAGCCGTCACCCAGGCAACACTGGTGCCAGCCAATAGAAAAACAGTGTCAATGTACAGGCATTCCATCGTATTTTTAAAACAAGAAAAGGAAAATTGCTGAAAGTTTGGCCTTTCAGTGCAGGCTTCATGGCTGTGTTGCTACTGAGTGTCGAGAGGAGCCTCAGTTCTGCTTTCATTGAATAGGATCAAGCTCATAGAGTAGCGCTCCCTGGAGCAAACTCTGTCTTCCTCTATGTCTGTGCCACACTAAGTGTGCAACAATAATCCTAACTAGCAGCACTTCACTGGTCAGTCTGTCCTGCTAAGGAACAGCTGGTCAGCCTTAGCAGGGAGATGGATTCCAGGATCCAGTGGGCTTTTGCCATCACTGCCTTCTATGACAGTGGGACTTACACCCCCCCAACCATGGTGAATACCTGCAATGGGTAAGGAGAGACTGTTGAATCCCTATGTCAGATTTCCTGGATTCCTTGTAAGTAGCTTTGGCTTGAATTTAGCACAGGAGATTGCAGAGGATCAAATCTGGCATGGAAGTTCGCTGGTGACAGGAAAGGGACTTAACTGAATTTTTCACCATTAAATTTCTCTAATGCTCTGCACCATCATTACCTTTCCTTCCTCTGTCCCAGAGTGATGATACAGTAGAATAATGCTGAAGTCGTGTTTCCTATTACCTTGTATCTGCCTCCACCCACAACATGCCGTAGGCTCTGGCTAGTGGTGCTAACTCAATGGGGAGAGAGAAAATGGGCTTCTTTTGGCAAACTTTCACAAAAACAAAATCATAATTTCATCCCACCTAATATCTCAGCCCAGAAGCTTTGCTCTTCATTCCATTTTCACTGATCGGCTGGCCTCACATTGAAACATGTGACAGTCTTATAGGATTTGTCCATGTTTCCAAGGCCTGGTCTACACAAGGGGATACATTCAAATTAAGATACGCAACTTAACTACGTTAATTGTGTATCTTATGTCAAAATATCTTAACTTGAATTTGGCACATTCACACTGTGGGAAGTGAAAGGGAACACACTCTCCCTTCGACTTCCCTTACTCCTCGTAGAAGCAGGAGTACCGGCATTGACGGGAGCACCCTCTCAGTTCAAATTAGCATGTTTTCACCAGATCCGCTAATTCAAACTCCAGAAGATCGATTGCGGCTGCTTTGGTCTAATCTGTAGTCTAGACATGGCCCATGTGACTTCACCATAGTATGCGCAAATATAAATTTGAAAAAGTCAAGGCTTGCGTTGGAGACTGAACACTGGGCAATGTGATTGTGACTGTGGCAAACCAGAGCAGTTAGAAAGCATGTCTGAATGGGAAATGTTGCTTGGGAAGGAAAGTATGACCTGGAGCATATGCAGAGGAAGAGAAAGGGATAATAATGAAGTGGGCTTTCAGCATGGTTTAGTGCTCACACTACAAAACTGGGAGACAGGAGCGTGCATTGTGGCTCGGGCTCTGATGCTGATCCAATGTGTGTCCTTGGACAAGGACCAAAAACCAACTTTTGAAAAGTGCCTTCTGATGTTGGGTGGCTCAGTTTGTGAGGTGTCCAACATAGGTCCCCATCATTCCACTTGAAACCTATCAGGGCTTGCAGGTGCTAAGCCCCTCTGAAGATCAGCCTCTTTGGCCCACATCTTCAAAGTACTTAGGCACCTAATGCACATTAAAATCAGTAGGACTTAGGTGCCTGAATACCCTTTGTGGATCTGACTCTTGGTGTCTCCCCAGTGTTGCCAACATGCTATTTCCTTGTCCGTGATGCAGTTTGGCTGGGGCTGAAGCCAATAACAACATGAAAAGCTGCAGCCCGTTCAGCACCCCTCCACCATTCCAACCAGGGAAAATCCTCTTTGATTGACTGCCTTCGCTGCTTGCCCTCCGGGAAGAGTGAGCAGGCAGAGCCCAGCAGTTCAATCTAGCACCAGCTCCTCCTCTCCTGTGAAAAATGAGTCATGCTGCTCCCCACTGCATTCCAGAAGTATCACACTTGGGAATGGGGTGTGGAGGATGAAGAGCCCCCACAGGAACAGCAATGAGGCTGGAACTCAGCACTGACTTGGCATTGAAGGAGAAATTTCTGGGGAGTGTAGGGCTGTGGAGACACAGAATTAACTATTTCACATCATGGAGCCTGGGGAGATGATGGAAGCGTAATCCAACCAGTCAGGCAGCAACCAGAACTCCTGCAGGAAGGGTGAGGAGATTCACCTCACCTCCGTCAGTCACTACATTGGAGAGAGTTGGCTGTGCAAATTGGTTCATGTGCTGGGGAAGGGAAGAAGGTTCAAAATCAAAAGAGATGCTAAAAACCCCAGGGCTATGTCTACACTCGCGGCTTCTTGCACGAGAAATATGCAAACAGGCTAAGCATGGAATATCGCCGAGCATTGTTTGCATACCTAATGAGCCACCATTTTTGCAGAAGAGGCTCTTGCGCCAGAAGGAGCTGTCTACGCTTTCCCTTCTTGCGCAAGAAAAACCCTCTTGCGCAATGCCGTTATTCCTGAAAATAATTGGCGTAACGGCATTGTGCAAGAGGGTTTTTCTTGCGCAAGAAGGGGCAGTGTAGACAGCTCCTTCTGGCACAAGAGCCTTTTCCGCAAAAATGGTGGCTCATTTGGTATGCAAATGAGGCTCGGCGATATTCCACGCTTAGCCTCATTTGCATATTTCTCGCGCGAGAAGCCGCAAACGTAGACATAGGGAAATAGATTCTGAGGAGACTGACTTTGGATTTTGTAATTCTTGGGGCTGGCGATACTAAGAGGGGCACCCAAATTGGAGGCCATTTCTGAAAATGTGGGCCTTAATCCCTTTTTGTATCTTGGCCCAAGGATGTTGCAGGGGGTATAGACTGATGTTTGTGACACTCCTTGATGTTTGTGGGAGGTGCTCTAGAAATGCCATTATTATTACAAGGAAACATGCCAGAAGCAAAGAGAAAGTAGGGGAGCATGCAGGGATTGGGGAACATGGTATATAGCTCAGCAACAGAAGCATGTGAAAACCAGAGACTATGCCCTGTAGATTGCATCATCTGCAAGCCAGTCCACAGTGACTGTTCTTTGGAGTGGTGACTAAGAGGGACACATGGGACCTTAGTTTACTTCTGGGAGGAAAGAAAATTAAATTAAAAGTAAACATCTGAGAGCATCAATGAAACCCTGCTTTGATCATTAGAATTTGCTGGCTCTGTGCTCTTAAATGGTGTTTTGCCTCCTGCTCTGCATTCAATTCACCTGATAAATCACACAGCTCTGAGCCCAAAACTTTACAATAATCCTTGTTTCTTTCTGTAGATTATTCAGAAATGTAATAGCCCCATCTGTGTGTAGTCTCCTTACTACAGGTGCCTCTGGCTTTTTCTGGGAGGATCCTGTGTGCTGTAATCTAGCCCTAGAGACTACGACTCCCATGAGCCCTTGAGGAAATGAGGAAGGGAAGTTTTGTCCAGGCATGTGGAGAGGGGATTTCAAGGGGGAGTTGGGGATTCTCCATCTTGGCAGAGGAGTCAGGCTGCTGTGAAGGATCCTTATCCAGTCCAGGAGCTGTTATATTGCAGCTACAGCCTGGGACTGAGAGCTTTTGGGATTTGGATCTAGCAGGCTGCTCCTGGGGCAGCTAATTGCCCTAGAGGGGAGAGACTCTGGCTGTGTCTGTGGCTCAGAAGGACTATACAACCACCAGCACACAGGAGGAGGCTGTAAGTAAATGGGCTCTTTGGGGAGTGCTGCCTGGGACAGACCTCAGGGATATAGACTAACTCTGGGTCCAAAGAGAGGCAGTGTCCAACCTGCTGACGTTTGGTGGAGCTTGTTCCAATGGCAGAGGAAGTTTGCAGCTGGCGGCATAGCTTGGACTCACACGCACGCGCGCACACACACACAAAACCTACAGAGAACCTCCACTCCAGTGGCAGATCTTCAAGCACGCCCACGAAAGCGTCTGGGATTCTGAATCCAGAGGAGTGCACACTGTGGGCTGGGATAAATGGTGGCAGTGCAAATGCCAGCTAGATAAGTGCCTATTACTTCTGTGTACTTTGTTAATTGATTTTATTCACTGTTAATCTGTTAAACCTGTTTCTTAAAGTTGTTAAGTAAAGGTGTGTTCATTCTAATGTAATCAATTAGATGTATATTATTTATCATTTGTAACTGTTGTTCTGGAGTTGGATCCAGATTATTGCTGGAATAATTTTATTCCTGGAGCCTCCCAAGGCATACCATTAAGTGTGTACAGGGCCAGCCAAGTGGAGGCACCACCATTGTATACTCTTTATGAGCAAGGGACTGTAGCAAGGGGGTAGATAGGGAATCCCCAACTAAACAACATCAACACTGGGGTACTCAGGATCTCCTTTGATGTTAAAACATCAGCCACCGAGGCACACCTGTGAGTATGACCTGCTCCTGAGTAACCTGGAGAGGAAAAAGGGGGTTACATGTGTTCTTAGTGAGAAACTGGATTTAAGAGTCCCAGCTGAACGGCAGAAATGGATCTGGTCCAGCAGGTGAGTAGTTCCCCTAAGGCTACAAAAATGGGACCTGTAATTCCCCCATTAGCTGTAACAACAGCATAAGCTGTAGCATGGACAAGGGGCCCATAGAAGGTTAGTAGCTTTGCCATTACATCACCTAACCCTGTTTAGAGCTCCTAGGATTAAAAGGCCAAATTGATTACCATGACTTTCCAAAGCTTAATGCTGGGCAGCCTTCCAGAGATCAGAAATCCAGAATCAAGAGTCTCAGGCCAGTCAGCAGACAGAGAAGTTGGAGTTCATAATGATTTTTTTGTGTCATCAGTGAAGAGAATTCCAGACTCTTCAGAACAGGGGGGCTGCCAGAACATGGACCCCCTGAATGAAAGGGAAGGGGATAGATTCTGAAAAGATAAGCGTTATGAGCAAGAAATGTGGAAGCAGAAACACATGGAACCTGGTGCAAGGTACCGTGTTGATACGTGCTGCAAACCTCTTGCCCAAGAGCTGCAGGATAGATCACACTAAAACCATCCCAGGGGATAAGGCTTGGTGCTAACAACCCAGAACATTTACTGTCTGTTTGGCAAGAGGCAGACTTTGCTCAGCATGTTGTCCAGACCCATGCTCTAGTATACCCATGATAATTACCAGAAAGGGAGTTTCTTCCAGTTCTCCATCAAATCATATTCCATAAATGAGAAGAGTCCTTGCCATTGGATTTCCAGAATAAAAAGCCACATCAGGCCCAAGTGAGAATATTGCCCATGGATGGGATTGCCACCTCCTGTCTACATTTTCCCATTATCATTCATTTTTTAGAGGTAGCTGTCCTGGGAAATCTGTACAAGTGCTCAACACGCACTGCCAGCTCCCAGTATGTTGGTTTCAGGATCATCCCAGAAGTCCCTTTTATTTAATCTCTGAGGTGGCACCCCTCTCCATGGAATGTGGCTGGGTTCGCCCAAGTGAACAGTCACTTGGCTGCTTTGTTGGACCCAACCTTTGGATCCCACGTGCTCCGAAGCTTCCTGTGTCTGGGCAGAGTCTGGACACTGTCACTACATTTGTCTTCTCAGGTGTGCACTGGTGATGG